GGGACTTATAACCTTACTTACTAAGTCCCATGATCCTCCAAGTAGGGTTAAGATCTTGAGCCTCCCTAAAAACCCTAAACCCTAAACCCTGAAACCCTAAACCCTAAAAGCCCTAAACCCAAAAAACCCTAAACCCTGAAAGCCCCAAACCCTAAACCCTAAAAACCCTAAACCCTAAAAGCCCTAAACCCTAAACCCTAAACCCGAAACCCTAAACCCTGAACCCTAAACACCCTAAACCCAAAAATCCCTAAACGCTGAAAGCCCTAAACCCTAAACCCTAAACCCTAAAAACCCTAAAAACCCTAAAAACCCTAAAAACCCTAAACCCTGAACCCTGAACCCTAAAGACCTTTAAAAGACCCTAAAAGACCCTAAGAGCCTTCGGCGCATCCCCAGGTTTCAGAGACGGCTCGCGGGAGGGTCCTCGGAGGCGCTGCCGCTTTCGAAGATTCCGGGGTTTTAGGTTTTTTGTGTTTTAAAAGTGCCGCTTTTTGGGGGTTTAAGGTTTTAGGGGCTTCAGGGTTTAAGGGTTTAGGTTTTAGGGTTTTGGTTTTAAAAGCGCCGCTTTTGGGGGGCTTTAAGGTTTTAGGGGTTTTAGGGTTTAAGGTTTTAGGGTTTAGGGTCTAGGGTTGAGGGTTTTGGGGTTTAGGGGTTAGAGGTTTGGGTTTTAGGGTTTTAGCGTTTCAAGGTTCGGGGTTTGGGGTTTTAGGGTTTAGGGGCTTAGGGTTGAGGGGCTTAGGGTTGAGGGGCTTAGGGTTTAGGGAACTTCCTTTTAGGAGTTTAGGGTTTAGGGCTTTAGGGGGTTAGGGCTTAGGGATTAAAGCTTTTAGGGTTTAGGGTTGAGGCTTTTGGGGTTCAGGAAGGAACTTCATTTTTGCAGTTTTTTTTTTTAGGTTGGGCTCGACTCTTTCGTGTCCGCCAGTAGTAGGCTCCCAACAGCTGCAGCACTGCAGACATTTTTGCAGTTTAGGGCTCAGGGTTTTAGGGTTTAGGGTTTGGGGTTTAGGAAACTTCAGTTTTGGAGTTTGAGGCTTGGGGTTTATGGGTCGAGTTTTTTAGGGTTGAGGGTTTTAGGTCTTAAGGTTTATGAAACTTCATTTTTGGAGTTTAGGCTTCAAGCGCATGGGACGTCGAGGCTGCTTTGCCCTAAACCCTAAACCAGAAACCCTAAATCCTGAAAGGTGTCTGCCCTTTTCTGAAGGAGCCGGTGAATGCTCGAGAAGAAACGAAGCATCGCCATCCGAAGGGACACACACGACTTGAGTCTGGGTTTAGGGTTCAGGGTTTAGGTTTTTTTTTACGGGCCCTTTTCCAACTGCAGAACAGCTAGACGTGCTTACCAGGCTGAGCCAACATGCCGGGGCCCCAGAGGGTTTAGGGTTTAGGGTTTAGGTTTTCCGGGCTCTGTGATCCAGTCGCGAAGCCAGGCACGCATCTCCCTGGTCCCTGGTCATTTCGCTCCAGATAGTGCTTCTTCAGAGCTGCCGCCACTTCTTACTTCCTCGTCCGAGGCTTTCACGTTCTCCAGCAGACCCTGCCATATGAGATCGAACATTCCTGGTGCTGAATCGAGTGAGGACCCTTAACCCTAAATATAGGGGCCTTAATAATTAGAAAAGGGTTTGGGGGTATATTATACTATAATTATAATAAGGAGCCCCCACAATAGTATTGGTCCTATACTAACCCGCACACCACAAGACCTTGCTGCAGCCCGGGCCGCTTCGCTTGGGAGGCATCGTACCCAAACGGCGGCTCTGCACTGAAGGTAGGGTTTCCTCTTAGACTGTTGCTGGTCACTGCAGTCAAGGGCTGCAACAGTGAACCCAAACTCGCCCTTTTTCGAGCACACAGTCTCAAAGTTAGTTAAAACCTAGACAACTACACCGCTAAACCCTTAGACCCTAAACCCCTAAATCCTTCGACCCTAAACCCCTAAACCCATAAACCCCTAAACCCCTAAACCCTTGGACCCTAAACTCTTAAGCCTCAAACCCCTAGACCCCTAAACCCCTAAACCCTTAGACCCGCCCTTAGACCCTCAAGCTCTTAAGCCTCTGAACCCCTTGGACCCTGTGTACTCTAAAACTTCGCGCAAAGCCCTAAACCCTAAACTTGCTGTCCCTAAATCCTAAACCCTAAACCCTAAACCCTAAATCCTAACCCCTAAATCCTAACCCCTAAATCCTAAACCCCTACAGCTTAGACCCCTAAACTCTAAAACTTAGCGCAAAAGCGAAGGCTTCGAGCCTCCGAAGGCGAAGCGACGTACTTTACGCGTGCACGGGCTTAGTGGGTTCAGGGGTTTCGGGTTTAGGGGTTTAGGGGTTTAGGGTTCAGGGGTTTAGGGTTAGTTTGGGGCTTGAGGGGTTTAGAGGTCGGGTTTTGTGTTTTCAGGCTCCTGGGGGAACTAAACTAGGTTGGCCCTGTAAAGCTTCTGACAAGTATTCGTAAGTAAGTTCGTCTTAAGCCAAACAAAGTAAAATCCAAAATGAGAAAACAAAAGGCTAACCTTTGGTTAGGGGTTTAGAGTTTCGGGCTTAGGGGGGTTCAGGGGTTTGGAGTCTAGCTTACTTGTACAGTCTCCTAAGGAACTAAAGCTTAACCTTTGGTGCAATATATAGGGGTTGTAGTACCCTAAACCCTAAACCCTAAACCCTAAAACCCTAAACCCTAAAACCCTTTCGCAGCTGAGCGGGTTTAGTGAAGGGTTTAAGCGCGTTTGGGGGTTTGGGGCTTTAGGGGTTTAGGGTTCGAGGCTTAGGGTGTCGGGCTTGGGGGCATAGAGCTTTCGGGCTCCATAGTCCAAGCCGCCACAAGGCTCCCCAGAGTTGCCCCAGCTCGTGGCTAGCGTGGTAACAGGGTTCTACGTAACGTAAGCCTGTCATTGCTGAAGCCCCTCCTTCGGGGACCATCAGTACCAGATGCACGGTTTAGGGTTTTGGGTTGAGGGGCCATGACCCGTATAATTTATCAGGGACTCCACCAATCCCACACTCCGAACCCTTTCCCGAGACCCTGCTTGGATCATGGGACTAAGTAAATAGCCGTAAACCCTAAACCCTAAACCCTAAACCCTAAACCCTAAACCCTCAACCCTAAACCTTAATCAACGACATCTCAGGGGCCTCAAAAGGTGCCAGGACGGACTAGGATGAAGGACCCTTGTAACAAAAAAACCTTACTTGATATCGCCCCACCTTACTTTCATCCCACCCCTGCATCCCTTTGTAGATCATACCTTACGTACCGAAGCCCAAAGTCTGAAATCCTTGAGACCTCGCAATCCAAAGCCTTCAATCCCACATCCAACTCAACGCTGATCCCAGAGACTCCCAAAACCCTTTCAGTGATGAGCAAACCTTAGCATCATACATCAGCTTCCCCTGTAACTTAAGGCATATTCCGTACGTGAAAAAATACCCTAAACCCCTAAACCCTAAAACCCTAAAGCCCTAAACCCTAAACCCTAAACCCCTACACCCTAAAACCCTAAACCCCTAAACCCCGAAAACACCCTAAACCCTAAACCCTAAACCGC